TCCAAAATATGAAGGAGTTGGAGGGGGATATTTCAGAAATCATAACACACACAGAATTTGTATCTAGAAACACCAAGGGAAAATAACGATGCTTCTAATTTTGGGTGGCTCCAACTTACACAGCTATCTTATCACTGAAAAACCTTGTGAGAATTGGGCCCTTAGCGCTAATGCTGCACTCGTGCCCGCGTAGGAGGAGACAGCAGTAGCCGCAAGGTGATATAATGTACAAACAAGCATAATACGGGGAAAATAAAGGGCCATGACCATCTCATACTACTTATAGGATCATGAGCCAGAGGTGAAGCCAGATCTTCTGGATCACAACTTGGTGCCTTAGCCAAAAGGAACAGAGAACAGCAAAAGAACAGGGGATTAGACATCAGCCTGTTTTTAGTTACCTCTGACAGATACCCCCGTGGCCTTCCCTACATGTTCTGGCCACATTGTAAAGCTGATCAGACCAGTAAAGCATTAGTGAGTTAAAACTAAGATGGCTGAGCTAGAAAGGCTGCAGATAGAGCTAGAAAGGGAAACTGTCTTTGCAAACTACAAGGCCAGGGGTCACCTTCAAAAAACAAAATAAAGTGGGGGTGAAGGACAAAAAACATAATAATTCCTCAGAGCAGGGAACTTGACTCCTCTTTCCACAAAAAATATATGCACTTCAAATGCTGGCTGTAGGAATAGCTATGTGGCAAGTGAAAGTAATACACAAATACAGCACATTTGAAAAAAAACATCAGAACCAGTAAAAGACAGGCACACAGACACACCCCCTGTGAAATTACTGTATTGCCTTGTGCCGTACAACTCCTCCCCGCATCGGCTCCAAGTGGCTCCTGTTTAATTGCTCTCTGAGAACCGCTGCAGCTAAGGCCGTGCCAACATTCTTCATTTGAAACTACATTTCTAAAAGCGCCCCTGGGCTGAATGTTGACAATTAATGTCTCCATGCTGAAATACATTTTTGTAAGTTTCCTGTATTTTTTTAAGTGGTTGCAAAGCCAATTTTCAATGGAGCTTTTCAATAGGACTCTGTCACTTTCCCCTGATTTGGGGGCTTGTGTATTTTAAGTCACCCTCAGTAATCTAATAAAATCCCATTACAAGCAACCGATGCATTGGATAATCCTATTGTTTTCAAGCCAGGTTTTAAAATTAATACACAGTCTAAACATTTCCTACTGAAAAGCATCTCTTTTAGCCGCCGATTCCTGCTATTCTGCAAAGCACTGAAACATATGCTTGAGTCTCATTGAAGTTACAGGGGTTTCTTTGGACTTTATAACCTATAAGTAAAGACCCCAATTCAGGGAAGCAGTTAGGGACATACCTAGCTTAAACTAATGCCAGGGTCACTTGATTGGCTTATGTGTTTTGTTGTCAGGGTCTTCAAGCCTGATCCAAAACCCCACCTAAGACCAGGGAAAGGCTGGGCCTTGGATATATATATATATATATATATATATAGGGACATAGGCTTGCAAGGCACTTCCTGGGCCATTATGTCTAATCCATCACATTCGTTGGTAATTGTTAACCCAATAAACCCCATAATCATCATCACTTCAAAAATTCACACTCAGTGACATGGGACAATACCCAAAACACCAACTCTACTCTAAAACATGCCATAGGCAAAAGCTGGTGAGGGGAGGGCTTGGCCAATGTCTTGACACTGAAGTGACAGATAAGTATCTGGTTAACATGGACCCAGAGGAAGGCAAAACTCTCCCATGGTCTGCGCCAGTTGGACTTGGAGGAAAAATTCCATCCTGAACCCAAATTTGGGGAATGGAAGAGCAAGACTGTCAAGCCAGGAATCCTCAGGTTTTGCAATCACCACCAAGAGCATCATTGGGCTTCAGTCAACCCCCCTGGCCATGGCTGAAGCCAACCTCTCAGTGCCTCAAAGGCAGGGAACACTGATCACCCTCTAGAGGCCAGAAGGATGGAGTGGGGGGAGGATAGTGACCCCCAACTGGTGACCAGTCTCCAAGGTATGGGATTACCAGACATCTTCCACATCACACGTGTTCCATTATTAGCTCCACCCGGGAACTGAAAACATCGCTCTACATCATACAAACAGATTATCACGCTGGAGCTCTCTGTCCTGTCATAACATCCCTTCCACTCACCTGTGCAAGTAAATTGTAGAAAGTTTCAGGTTCTTTGCCCCCAACTACTTGGCTTGGGCAGCTGTTCTACTGCTACACCCCTCTTGAAGTTAGAACATTTCTGTCCATCTGAATTTATCCATAGCCAGTTTGTATCCATTTGACCTTGGGATAGCGGTGTTTTCTAGCCCAGAGATTCTTTTCTTACCCAATATGAGCACCTGCTTCACTTTCATTTTAATAAACTAAACAAGACAAACTCCTTTAATCAGCTTTCAGAAGAAAAGGCATGTCCCCTGGTGGGGGAAGGGTGTGAGGTGCATGATGCTTATTAGTTATGCCTGGGGTTACCATACAAAAATGGTTTTCCCAGACATATCCTCTTTTTGAGTCCTCCCATCCCTGTCTGGGCGTTTTAAAAAAAAAATATCACCAAATGTCCACGATTTTGCTCTGCCTCTGCTTTCCCAGCACTTCCTGGCTTGCCCCAGCAAGAAGCTGCATGGTCTGCACGTGGTCTGTACCACGCCTCCCCGGTGTCCTCTTTTTGAAACTGGAAATACCGTAACCCTAGTTTTGCCTCTGTCAGTGGTAAACTGAAGTGGAAACTGCCTGATGGGGAGGAAGTGATGGCCTACTGTTGGGAAAAGTTTCCTGATCTCTCTTCTATTGCCTTCACCATCTTTGTGGCCCTTCTTTAAAATTTGTTCCAGTTTAAAAACTGGTGCCAGAACTGCAACCTGTATTCTAAGGGTGCATTTGAATATGCAGTAGCCTATTTACTTTGCATTAAGCATTACTTAAAAAACGTGGACTTTTGATACCAAATGCCTAATGTGCATTTATTTAGTACCTCACACTGGAGGTACTAAATTTAGTGCATATTAGAAAAAGCTCATTAATGCACATGTAGACATGTCCTAAGTGACTAATGCCTTGTGTGTGGTAGCAGCACCAGACTGGACCCAGTGTTTTTGAAAACACTGATCCAGTGCAGTGGAACCAGCCAAAAAAGGATTAAGATCCGAGTTGCAAGCTCTTGACAAAAGGATGCAGCATGTCCTCAGCTCTGCACCAGCTTCAGACCAACAGCTGGCATGGAAGGGGCACTCGGGTGTGAAGCAGCACTCTGAGCACTCCTCCTAGTCGTGCAATGGAGTGCAAGGCCTAGGGCTGCACTTGCCCCTTGCATGGAGGTGTGAGGTAAGAGGAAGGTTGCTCCCTCCTTTCCCCACTTCCTCTGCATACAACTTTTAACACTGTACTATTCACTGTAGGAAAATTCCATCTCTCAGATGTCCCAGTGCTGCAAAACCATGGCAGCGAGAACTTAACATAGGTAGGGGCATTGGCTCTGCTTCCATGTCTCCATTAGTATGAATGGGAAAAAGCACTGGCAAAAGCAACCACATCTGAAGCAGACTGCAACTCTTCCTTGCAGGCATATGTGAATGCCAGGCTCCAAAGCATCAGCCCTCACTTTGAATTTCATTGCTTTGGCTGGCTTGTCTCACAACCTTTTAACATGTCTTGAATGTAGCTTATTGTCTGCTAATAAAGAAAGAACGCAGCTCTCCAGCAACTGCAGAAGCCCAGCTTTCACATCCCAACGCAGAGACGATTCTTGGCAGGGAAAGCTGCTATTCCAGACAAGCTGCTATTCCGGACATTTTTAAAATCAGTCAGTGTCCACCCCTTCCTCTTCCTCCCCTCCAGCCCCCCATGCTCCAAATCCACAGGTATATCATGTTCTTTAAAAAGAAAACCCCAACAAAACTGTATTTTGATCACTCCGAGGGGCCACTCCAGGAGCTGTAACTTGCACATAGCCTCCTCCGAACCCAGTCTGTCCTGCCTGCCTGGGAAAACACTGCAGAACCCAAACTGTGAACAGCTAATGCAGTATAACGCCCTCACCTCCAGTTTGTGTAAGACCGGCAGAAGTGGATAGCAATGCGATACGTGCCTCCTTACTGGCATTTGGCTTTTGCCAAAACATACATAAGAGAACACGCACATGCCTAGAAGGGAACACGCGCTCCAGTCATTCTCTCACCACGCAAGTTCTTTTACCACATGATTACTGTAATATCCAAGCGCCTCCGGATTAATTTGTTCCCAGGAAATTCCATCATCATTATTTCAAGCCCGTAACAATTCAGACACTTAGGATGAAGGGGAAACTGCTTTGCTCAGGAAAACGATACAATAAAAACAGTGACTAAATGTGCCTCCATTTTGGCCCATGCTTCATTTTCCAGCGGCTGAAAAAACAAGTTTTTCTGTAAGTGAAAAAGTCCAACATCTTCAATAAAAAATGTGTTTGTTTTTTAAGTAGAGAACTTCTAGCACAAACAAACAAAATAAGGGACATGCGGCTAACAGTTTTCACCAAAAAAATGCAAATAAAAGAAAATTGCCCACTTAAAAAAAAAAAAACCCAAAAGATGAGCAGGTGGCTAGTCATTTATTTCATCACTGACAAGGATCAGTACCAGTTGCTTCCAAGAGAAGTGCAGAAGACAATATAGTCAGCAATTTGGGGGTGATCTTTCTTAGGAAAAGTTTCTTCCTAACTTCCACAAAATTAGGAATCAAGCTCTGGTGCCTTTGCAGAACTCTCAGTTCTGTTTCGTTCCAACAGTCATTTCCAAAAATGCCAATTCTTTTTGGAAATATTTAATAGGGTTTTTTTGAACCAGGGCAAGGTATTGGCTTCAATGATACCATGTGGCAATGAGTTCCACAGGCTTAAGTGACTCAGGCAAAAAAAGATGTTTCCTTAGCTAATCAGCAATCATGATACAAACCTGAAATATGATTTGAAAGGCAGAAGTATTTTTATCAATGATATTTATTTAGATTTATAAATTGGGGGGAGGGGGATGTATTTATATTAGGATCTGGGAAACTATACAAAATATTTATACAACTTTCTTCAGTCTTTAAGTCTCTGCAGTACACAACTGGTTCAGTTTAACAGCAGTCAGGGTCTTCTGTCTTTTCACTGCCTGTATTAGAAAAGAGAAAAAGGAGCTCAGGTATAGTACAACCTATGTATTTCTGACAGCACTTTGTGCACCACAGGTCAGATTTGCTCACTGTCTGTGGGTAGTGATCCATGTAGCCGGGGCAAAGCAAAACAGTTTAATTTCATTTCTGTTGAGCAGCTCCAGCTATTTCAAACTAACATCCATAAATCAGGAGCCCAAAGACGCTTGCATTGGAAAACACAGAGCAGTCCCTTGTCACTGCCACTAACATTTGTTATAGGTTGGGAGACAGAAAAGAGAGTGCATCCCTTCATTCCTGTGGGCAATGCAACCTTCAGATACAGAGTTTACCTTGATGTGGCATTGGGAAGGGGTCACCCTTAGGCACAGGCCAAGCACGTCCCAGTAACTAAGTGTTCGGGGATCACCTCTTGTTGACAGACTCTTCTAGCATAAAACTCCTGCCATCCAAAGTGATGAGCCTTGAAGTCCAAGTTGGAGTTGGGGAAGGTACATGCAAACAGCAAGTTCTTTCTAGGTGCCAAAATGCCCAACTTTGCAACCATAGAAGAAAATTGAGCAGTTTCACCAGGAAACATGAGCTGAAAAAGGTCTTCCTACCTCTCCCTACTGAGGGCCATGGATCCTCCCTGTTGGCAAGCTGGTTACCTTTCTCCATGCATACCCAGGGCCAGACGTGGACCAAGGGGCCTGAAATTCTTTTAAATATCACTCTGCATTGAATAAAAGAAATCTTTAAAATACAGAAATAAGAGAAAGTATGAAGGATGCCAAGGCCTGGGAGTCAGTTTCATTTTTTTTTCCTACCGTGTGCGGGTGCTTGTACAGTGGCTTCAATTTTTTTTAGTAAAAGAGTTTAAGGACAGAAGGTTGCAAACCACTCAAGGCTCAGTCTAAACTGTCAATAGCAATAGCATCATATGTGTGGTCTGAAGAAGAGATGTAGTCCCTATGTATACAGGCAACATATCTATGGCTCTAGTCCCGGAAAAAATTAAGTAGGCGCATAATCTTCCCATATGTAAGTAGTCCTACCGGGACAGTTACATAAATACTTAAATCTTTCTATTAAAGTCAAGGCCTATATAAAGTCACATACCTTGAGAACTATATTCTGTATTTATTGCACACCCCAAACTCCCACTAAACTGTACAGTACTTACTGAGTTTCCCTGAAATGTGATATCATTGCCAGTAGGCCAGAAGTGCAAAGAAGCTATAAACATTGGTTTTCCAGGGGTTTATGGAAGCAATTTCGTTCTTGGAAGAAAGTTCAGAAAATGTGAATTAATCTGCTACTGAGTGCATCAATCAATACATTGTGCATAACTCTCAAGTCATTGTTAAGTAACAACAAATTATTCTGATTGCTTCTTAGTCAGGACTGTGTGGGGAAAAAACGTTTTTGCCTTGATGATGGAATGCTGTTCTCCCCCCCAAAAATGTATCAGAGAACAAAATTAATGAATTTGTTTTACGAAACTGAATTGAAACTGAAACTGAAACTTTGGGGGTTTCCCTCCTCCCAGCAAAATAAAAAAGTTGGAAAAAAAGAAAAGGTTTGGAGTTCTATTTTTAAAAATACAAATATTAAGAATTTTTTAAAAAATGAATTATTCACTGAGTTTGGCCAAATCTATGAATAGCTCTGGTTGACTTGTACTGAATTTTTTGGTAAGTAAAATATTCACCAAAGAAAGATTTGCCAAAGTCTCGTAATAACATCCCTTTGCGGAGGGAGATGGCAAGCTCTCCTTACTGGAATACTGCCGGGGAGTGTATGGACACGATGTCCGGCTGTGGGTTTCCAGTAAGTGAAGTAAAGGACACACTGGGAACATGACAAATGTTTAGAGACGCACTGCACTTTAAAATAGTGTGTGTCAGCAGGACTCTGCTTTGTGTTTGAATGCATGTTCAGACACTGCTGGAACAGTGCCTGGGAAGCACTGAAGGTAGGGTGATAAAAAATAAATAAATACTCCCATCTTATCTGGAGGTGTCCTCACAGAAGAGATGCCCACCAGGGTTGTAAATCCACATTTAATTTATTAATGATTACACATCCAGAAATTAAAAGGCATGCTTGTCTGGATATAATGAATTTGCTGACTAAACAGACAGAGAAAACATCTGGGAACACAGCTCTTCTGTCACCGTTAGCCAAGCTAATTATCAATTGCTTACATTCTGGTTTCAAGGTCTGATCTAGAGTCCACTGAATGTAATGCAAGTCTTTTAGCTGTAGATCAAGTTCTTGATCAAGGCCCCTTCTACATGACAATGAAAATAATGGCTAAATATAGTACAGGCAGTCCTTACCTTGCGTTTTGAGTTATGTTTCGCACTTACAACGTTTATAAATTGACACCCTGTTTCAACTTTCTGATGTCAGTTTTGACCTTACAACACTTGATCTAATGCTAAGCCATGCCAGCAAAAAAGTTCGCTGCGTCACCCATCTCCCTGGTGAACGTCTGTCCAAACTTTCTTAGACACCTTCTTTAAGAAAGCAGACAAGACTCCAGAAAAACCTGCAGGCAAGACTCCTGAGAAGACTCCAGCCAAGAGCCCTTCAAAAAGTCCAACCAAGAGCCCTCCAAAACATCCAGCAAAGTCACCTCCAAAGTAGTCCTTCTAAATCAATGTGATTGCTCTTTACAGTATAAATACATTAATGTAGCTATATTACTCATCTATAATTGATTGAGTACAAAATTCTGGGTTATTTTTGGTGAAAACAGGGTATCGGGCCTTGGTTCAGGATCCAATTCCCCATTTATAACATTGTTTCCTATGGGAAAAATCAGTTCTGAGTTACAATGTTTCAACTTGTGGTTTTCAGGAACCAATTGTATTGTAAATCTGAGGACTGTCTGTATTATACTGTTGCTTTCTTCAAGACAGTGTACATAGACTTATCTAAAAACCTGCTTTGTAACACAAGGATGGGAACATACTGGCAGTCCACCCAGGCAAAGCAAAACACAGACATGCTGCTGCAGTGCGTCATACACTTGTTCTCTTGCAGCCTCTTTGTGCATCATTTCTCAGCATGATAATACATATATTGTGCTTGAGCAGGAGCTACATGATTAGCATGTGTGACGGGCTAACTGGCAGTGACCTAGCCCAGGGGTTTTGAAAGGGCAAAAGATGATTGGAGGACTTGGGATTCCCTTTCCTCACCAATCAGGCCCCAGAGACTCACCTCTCATGTCCCCCAATTGGCCCCTTGGGTCACCTGGAGGGGGATAAAAGGGGCAGCGCGGCTGACTCCAGAGAGACCAGCGAGGACCACAAGGAAGGAGATTCAAAGAGCTGAGCCAGCGGGCCAGGAGTAGCTGCCCCAGAAGAGCCTAAAGGAGTGGGACCTGCAGGCAGCAGTGGGACCCTCAGCAGCGTGGCATGTGCCCGGCAGGAGAGGCTCCCCACTGGGCTCCAGGATCCCCTATGAAAGGCTGTGGCTAGCAGGAGAGGCTCCCCAGCTCCAGCAAGGATCTGAGCAGTGACCTGGGAGGTTCCCAGCCCTGCTTCCAGCTCCTCCAGCAAGAGGCCAGGCAGATCGACATGAGGCCAGGGCTCCTGGAAGGTCAAAACTCCTATCAGCTTGGCCCAATACAAGCTCTGGTGGCTGTGTGGTAGCGCTTCTGCCTACCATGTGGGATATCCCAGTTCAAGTCCCAGCTGTGGTGACTTGGGGGGAGTGAGCTAACAGGGAGAAGTTCTTCTTGCAGTGGAAAGGGGTCATTGTGCTTTCTCCCCCTCCAGGTACCTAGGCCCTGTATTCCTTGTCATTTTGTGCCTTTTATATTTCATCAACCAGCATTGTTTGTTCTGCTGTTTGTGTTTTACACTTTGGTTAACCCTGTTTTTTGTCAATGATTGTAAGCGTCTAACCTTTGTTGAATCCGGCCCCCTCAGGGCATTGTAGTGTCCCCTATATCCCCTGGTTTATACTGGTTATGTTCCCAGTATTGTTCTCTCATTAAAAGGTATATGGTTAAGTCCCCAGTGGTGGTCTGGCTCTGCTCTATAGGGGGAGGAGAGTCCCTACACCTCCCACAGCGCTTGTGCACCTGCTTTGATCCCTTCGATTGGAGAGGAGGTACCTCTTGGAGTACTGCCCGGGTTACACATGTGTACAACTCCCTTTAGATCCCCAAACTGTTGGACTGGATGATCACAGCAGCATGGTGTCAGCCCTTACACAAACCAGAAAGCAAGGCCATCCCACTGTCAAGATAATTGGTATGACAGATACCTGGTTTGTTCAGCCCTTGTATTTTTTTCCACCCCTGGGCATGATGGACTTGTCTCCTACTCCCTTCCTCTTCGTCTCCATATCTGGCTCCAGCACTTTTATACCTGATCTTGGCTCAAAAAAACTCCCTCACCCACAAGTCCTACCAGCTGAATAGCCCTCAGGTTTCTCTTCCTCGCTACCTATCCTTCTGTAAAATATGGCTCTTTCATTCATTTTTTTTTTTTTTTAAGCCTAACCCTTTTAGGGCCAGGCATCAGGGGTTATTGGATCAATTGGAAGGTTGTCCTTGATTTCAAATGGATGTCATATCAGCTCCCAGTAGCTAGAGTGTGAAGGTTTTATGCATGTTGAATAATACTTTGCACTGTGGGAGCACCTGTGGAAACAGACCACTTGGTAATTTAGGGCTGTGCGAAATGGCACCGTTCTGTTTCGCCTTCAGTTTCGATGGAAGAGTGTTTCATTTCAAATTTCATTTCTTCCCATCTGCAGTGCTACATTGCTACAGCGCCAGCGTGATCAAGTGCAGGGTACTGGAAAGTGTCCTGGGAGCCGGGCCAGAAAGCGGGGGTTTTGTTAAGTAAAGCGGGATCGGTTGGGCAGGTGTGTGGATGGAGAGGCCGAGACAGCGTATTGGTTTCAAAACAAGAAGTTTTACTTACGCCTTTGGTGATACAGGCGCAGGTGAGGCACACTTGGTTAGTTACAATAATGTAGCAGGTAACACGTC